TACATGTTTTGGCGTTACAAGAGGATAGATATATCGATTATATATGATTTCTTGTGTACATGCCTTTCTGTTAAATAGTCGGGAGAAATAAAAGATTTTTAGTAAATAAAATACTTGTTTTTATTCAAACAGATTCATAACATTGCAAATAAACCAAGTAAATAAATCGATAAAGTCACATTAAGCTTTTTTGTTCTTTGATCTTACTGTTAGAATTAGTTACTGTATAACATCCAAAAGCTATCATGCTTGGCAAAGTTATCATAATCCTGGTTACCTTCTTGCTTCAAGGTGCATTATCAGGAAACGCAGTAACCTTTCAAACACCAGATGTTCTCACAATCTCTTACATCAAGAATGATCCGAATTTTTATAAGTATTGTAAACAACAGTTAAAAAATTTGGTAGGAATACGTGATGAAGGGATATCAAATGTTTCTTGTCAAGCATTAGGCTACTCGGCAAATGATGATCCACCCCGTTCTTTCTCAAATACGAAGGACAACGGTGGAGACTTTGATAAATGGGCCAGAAGTAAAGAGTATAGGGGATATATCCATATTCCAAGTTTAGAGTTAGCTGTGATGCTAAAGGTTATATCAGTTCTGACCCTAAGGATCCTGATTATAGTGATCAACATAACCCAACACAAAATCCTGAGAAAGTTGTAAATACCGAACGTAATCCCTATGGATATACGAAAGAATATGCGCCGTACATTTATCTAGATTATTCATCAGCTGATATATATACTAATGACTCAACATTCAATGGAATTCGATGGTCTAAAATCAAAGATAATACTTGTTTAAGCATCTTCGATGCTAGAGCTAGTCGGTTATCCACAACAGCACGATATACGCAATATTTTTTGTTGAAATATGATGCACCATTTATTTACGCTAAAGTATATATGACAGTTTGTTGTAATCGTCAGGTTTCTGTAACAGTCCATCGTACTGTTTTCCCTCAAACTTCCCTTTACATTAATGGCAAAAAGGTTAGTGAACAAGCACAGACTGAACTTGGCAAGTTTATTCTTTCCGGAGGTAAACCGGCTAAGGACTTCAAAATTGCCGAAGATGGAAATTGGATAATTAAGAATATAAAAACGTTACTTAAAAATTTTCAAAAAGATTTGGGTTTATTGTTATCAGCAGATGGACATGGTAACTTGGCTCCTTATGGACAGGACTTGACCTGGAATGGAAAAATCTAAACTAGTAACAGCATAATATAAATAGATCTATTTTATTATTACATTTCATGCACTTGATATATGTTGATGATAGCTTTATATTACAACATATAATTTGTATTTTTATCTTTATTTTTGCAAGCATTGTAGGTCAATAAATAATAAATTCTCACATACAGTCCATAGCATAAAAGTTTTTTTCGTATTAATCTGCCTGACATTTGTTTTAGAATTGGGTTGCGTAATACTATATGAAAAAGTATCAACTAATATTATGCTATATATCATTTACTATATATTATTAAATGCACATACTGTACGTACATTGATATGTTTAGCTCAAAACTTAGACTATTTCTCATTTTTATTTAGCACATGATTGCTATTTTAAGAACACGTATTCTTTTTGTGGATCGATCCCAAAAAATTGCGATATTAGGTGTTGATCAATACCGATTAATAAGTACCGGTATCCTGTATACGTACCAAATGCACCTCTCAACAAGAATCCCAAATATAGAAAACGTGCGATTGTTGATTGATTTGCCGTGTTCAATAATTGTGGTGCCGAATTTAGTAAACAATTTAATTATTTGTTTACGTAGTAATTATCGTGCCAAAATATCGGTATGACACCAAATAACAATTGGTAGTTGACTCGTGTTGAATTATCGCAATGCCGAGTCATTTATATTGCATACTGCTTCGTGGCAAATTGCCTTGCAAATGCAAGAAAATAAATTGCAATCTCTAATGAATAATAAATAGGGCCACCTTTAATATGAAGGTCCGTTCCAATTTTGCTTTTTTCTTAAAAAAATTTTTTATAAAATTACTTACCTGCTGTATAAGCACTATGTCGTCCCAAAATAAATCCGTCGCATTATTATCGAAGGCCTCTAAAAGAAATCTACGTAAAAAAGACCTTCGTGCCATAAAAAAAGCCAAATTTGAAAACCTTGATATTTCTGTCGTTGGAGGTAATACTAATACATCCAATATTAACCTGGCCGATGAAAGAGAAGATATTTTCTACAATCCTCTAAAAGTAAGTTAATTAATTTTGATACAAGTAAACCCCTATTATTTATAGTATAGTCTTCTTAGGGGTACTTTTCGCCTTTCGAGGCAGGCCTAGGATCCGAGTATTCCCTCTCTAAGTTCTATTATTATTGTGCTTACTTTTTATTGAGGGCGTGATCGTCAAATCATGATTATCTTATTAGCGAGGAGAGGAAGACCGAACGAGCTTCCCGTTTAACGCTGAGCTATAAGATAAGAAATGATTCGAATGTATCCACCTCGAAATATTTTTATTTAACTTCATAATAAAACATTATAAAGTATATCATCTCATGAGATATTTCTGAATATATATTCTTTAGCATAAAACCCAAGCAAAAACCCGCCAGTCGACCAAAGATGAGGCTCGTGAATATATCCATACCCGATGGATATCTGAAGACTTTTTTTCTAGTGATATTAAATCGACTAAAATTTCACAGCCTTATACTTTGATAGATCCAAAATTTACTTTCGTTAAAAAGTTTTTAAAAAGAAGGCAACAAAGACTAATTACCCTTTCTTTGCCACCTCAAATAATTCAACCGACACCCATCGACTACTCTGAAATACCGATACAATATATGACTCTGCTGGAGTCTGAGATCTTTAATGAGGGCTCTTCAAATTCGACACCTGAACAGTGGAAAGAGTTTGGGTTGTGGGCTAATTTTTCAAAGGTTCCCAATTTTAATAAGCGATTTCGCCTTCACTGCCGTCACCTCTGGTCTAATGTTATACATGCACACAAAGAAGCCCAGAAAAAAATACAGAGAGAATATAATATCTCAGAAACATTCAGCCGATCATCAAAAAATAAATTAGATAAGGCAAATGAGATCATAAAGAATGTAGCTATCAGTAATAAATTTGAAGGCTATTACCATGTCTTCAATCCACAATGCTTCAAGAATTCTTTCAGTGAAACCATAGTAGATTTTTTTGACCTACCCAATAC